ACTAACTAAGAATTCACTGGGGCATGAACACAATGCCAAAAAGGAAATTGTCTTTGTTTATGCCTCACTGTTTTCTTAGTTAATTGATAACTAAATCTTATTAGGCGCTAATTGGTTAAGAATTGTTTCACACTTATGTGGCATGCACTCTACATGTAGCGCTGTATTCTACAATTGTAGTCATACACACAAAATAATATAATTGTGATTTGTGTGTGTCTAGTAGGTTGTATTAGTTTAGCATCCAATTCAAAGGTTTTTTGTCTTCTCTATAGTAATTGTATGTTAACCATTGAATGTCCAAAATAATTGCATCAGTGCATTTTCAGAATAGCGCATTGTTGGTTAGTGTCTTTGAAACTTATTATTTATCTATATTTACTAATGAATTKATCTATTTTTAATGTACAAGCATCCCAATAAGTGACTCATGTCAATAAATGCAAGTCCTTTCAGAATTTTGAATAACACCATCTCCTCAATCTTGATCTAAATACCCAAGCCTATCTTAGACTTTAGCCGACTTTGAGACCAAGTTTTTCCAAGCATCGTATTCCTTTTTCTTCATACTCCTGCCGTGTCATCCAGAARTGATCCTTGTCCTTCATGATATCGGCAAGTACTGCCCCACCCATAAAHACCATGTGCTTTCTTCTTGGTGGGTCCTCAATACGAATCTTGAATTTCTAATGACAGAGGAGAAATTTCATTGATTAGCACATGTTAAAAAGTAGGTACAATTCAAAGGACTTTAGCTTGAGCATAAGGCCAACTTATGGTGTACAGGTCATTTTAACTGTGCAAAGTATCTAAAAGAAGAGGTTAAAATGTATATCCTACTATTRAAAGGCTTCTATGCTCTCCCTATAAGTATGTATAACAGACATTAAGCTCTTCAAAGTCAGGAGAAAGACAGTTAATAAGCATTGATACATACCGATAGTTTAGATACATCTCCTTTGAGTGTTCTTTCTAAATACAATTGCTTAATCTCTCTCTCTAGTCGACTTGGAAGACCTGGGTACATAGTTGTCCCTCCTGATAACACAATATGCTTGTAAAACTCTGATCTAGTGTCAATGTCTGCTGCCTGAATGGTATTGAACAAAAGCTCTGCTACTCCAACACCTTCAACATTGATAAGATGAGGTTGGAATAAAGCTTCAGGAGCTTCAAATCTCTCTCCACTTAGTTTGACAACTCGTCCATCTGGAAGCTACAAATAAGTAAATATAATGTTCAGTACATACTGTTATCTTGTAATGTACTAGTCAGCATTATTTTGAGCAAAAAAGAYAAAYCATAGCCCATACACATCTAGTAGARCCATTTACAGGGCATKATYTTGCAGTGTATGCTAAGTTGCACATGACAAGTCACATTGTGTAAATTTGCCTTAACATCAGTAGAACTTACCGTGTACTGTTCAACAAGCACAGTTGTTTCAAGTGCTAGTTTCTGTTCTTGTTCAATGTTGTATCTAGATAGGAAAAGGAACAAAATGTTGAGTACAGTCTCATAAATATCTATTCTTAATGTAACAGATGGATAAAAAGAAATATCACCGACACAGCTCACACTAGTTTACTGCTAGTTTCCACCATGATTATTTTTAATGTAGCATAGGACAAAAAATAATGCAATAACAACAACCATCTGAAATTGGGTTGTACATGTAACTATCATTGTAGTAATCAAAGTCAAAGACTTTAGTTCAGCAGCTTATTTCTCATCTTTCTATCACAATAACATATCAACAAATCATTGAAAATCAAAACRGATCACTCACCCAACATAACAAAGTTTCTCTTTCATCATCCGTACTGTTTCAAAATCGGCAGAATGATTGAAAGCATAACCTCTTAATAACATCAGCTAAGATGGAAATACAAATAAAATATCAGTATAATGCAATATGTATAATATCAGTATAATGCAAGTATGAAGAGCAAAAGTGTTTTATGAAGTTCAACATCAGCAAACACAAGTGCAAATTCACCAGTTCGTGCATTAAAAATGCAGATTCACATGTAGAAAATGAAAAAGTCTTGAAATACATCAACAAGTAACAATAAGTCTATAGTTTGAATCAAACTAAAACGTCTTTTCAACTCATGATCRCTATCCCTGAAATTGACACACTGTATTTCCATTTAGGATTTTGATTCAAACTGGCTAATTAACAAGACCTGGAGTACCTTAATTAACATGTTTGATAAGAGCGAGGGGGGAGGGGGAGGTGTTTGATAAGGAGGGAGCTGTCTGAAGATAAGAGGAGAGTTAATCTGATGATAGAAAGGGTGATCCATGAAAGGAATAGACAATTTATCTTACTTTTATCAGGTATTTAGTAATGTCACGACCAGCAATATCCAATCTTCTTGTTAAATGTGGAAGAGCAAAKCCTTCATAGACTGGGCAAATATGTGTGACACCATCACCAGAATCTACTACGACACCCGTTAATAAACCTATGAACAAAATAGAAATATGAATGACAAAAATACCCCTGTCATGAAAATATAGCAAAATACTACATAACTAAGAAGTTWAAGCAAAAAAAGGAAGGCTTAACTRCAATAGCAAATTATTTTTGGTTGCCTTGAACTTATCTTTAGCATACCTTGGGCATACAATGTCAGGACAGCTTGGATGGCAATGTAAACTCCATCAAATTGATAATTTTCAAACATAACCTGCAAAATGRACACATCATTAAATATCTTCAAAAATACTAGATT